TTGGTGTCGTAGATGTGCTTGTTGGCCATCATGTAAAGTTGAGTGGCGAGGTAAAATGTTCGGGTCTTCTTCCTGTCTCCATTGAAGTCATCTGGGAGACGGATCTTGATCTCAGTTGGTCGTGCTTGCATGACTGGTGCAGCAATGCCTGCTCCAGCCGCTTGGGCAGTAGGATCGATCGGGTTCGTCATGGCTCTGGTTCAAGGGACGGGATTCCACTAGGGAGTCCAACGAGGATGATCAAGAGTAGAGGAGGGGTTGCCTAGGCTTGAAGAAGTCGGCAAGTGTCGTAGAAGAGTTCAACCTAATGTTAGGAAGCGATGTCCTAACTAGTCGTCTTGAGATAACTGGGCCACGTGCCAACAGTTATGTCGTCACTACCTCAGTAAGCGTACTGAAAGGTAGGTCTGGCCGGGCCAATGCCAACGGTCAAGTCAAGAGTCCAGGTAATTGCTGTATTCAACAGGAGGTTGAACTAAGGAATACATAGGTTTTCCTACAGTATATATAGTAACTGGTATAGGGGTTAATACCCAAAGAAGAGAACAATAAGAAAGGACGCGTAAGCTATCCTGTGAGAACGTAACTCAGAGAAATGAGAAATACAAGGGCGCCCATTGGTAGAAGGTGAGTCAAGGGAGATAACGTGTGGGAAGAAGATAGCGTCCATGGGAAGTTCTACTCAGAGAAAGGTACTGTCCAATAGCAATGCTCGGAATGGAAATGGAATGAGATAAGCATGGGAAAATCATAACACCTCCGACCCTTGGTCTTGCCGGACACTCGTCATCATCTCATCTACTTATATGCCTGCTCCTGTGGATATAGCGTGAAGGAGGAGGAGCACAGAACTGAGGGGGGAGATTGAAGTGGACGAGCCCGAGGTGAGGGAGCTGAAGGGTCAGGGATGGTGACGGCTGAGAGGGCCTTAGGTTTAGGTTGGGTTAGGTTGGGATACAGTATATCTTTTACATCTCAAGTATGAATATGATAGCACACCCTATTGACTTCAATTGTCAATTGTGAGATACCTTACACTGTGCTCAATATGGAAATTCACGTCTGTGGCACGATAACTGGGAATGCGTCACGCGTCGGCACATTGGCGCGTCGCAATTGTGAACCGACCTCAAGCCTGTTACTATCACAGCCCTTCTGCTTGCAGTCCTTTTCGCCCTCCAAACATGCCTGAAGCTCGCGAGGCTAGAGCGCAGCAGATGTACGGGAAGATGATCATGGAAGCATTCATCGGAAGAGCCTATAATTGCACGCTTATCAATATCTGGGCTGACGCTACAGACGCCGAGCAGACGGAGGCCGAGGACAATCCATCGCATGCCAACAAGTCTGCACGTAGAGGAAAGGTGTTTGTCTTGGATGAGACATGTACTTCGCAGCGCGGTCAAAATAACAACCAGACTCCGTTAATTCCCAACAACTGGACCCCCAAGTTGAACTCGAAGTTCCAGCTGAATGGGTCGGAATCAATCTCGTCCGCTGGGAAGACGGTTATAATTGACTTCGGGCATGATGTATTATCGGTGTGTGTTCCATATGACCATATGACTTCTTCTGAGTTGACGTCGTCGTCAATCGTCAATGCCAGATTGCACCCCTACTCCATACTTCCCTTCAGTGCTACTCATCTCAGACCTGGTATAGTTCTGTTGTGCCGGTGAAGAAGAAGGTGGGTGGAAAATATAATACTCTGGTATTCTTTAACCGTTCTGAACAGGGACGTGCCAAAATTGGCATTGCATTTGAGTTTGCCAACTTCGTCCTTGCATTCTGTTCCCTCGATCTTTGCTTCCAGGTGCGTCCCATCTCTGACCTTCTCACAGGACACCGTAAAATAGTCACGTTGTATGCCCAGCCTCAGTGGCAAAGTCAGGAACTCGCCCCGAGGGATATACCACCTGATGTTTATGATAAGTGGGAAGACTTCCTGAAATTTGTTGTAGCAGAATACCAACATTTGCTTACCAACATGGCTTTTGGGGATGGCTCCATCCTCAACCACTTTCAAGGTAGCATCTGGTCGCGTGCGGGAGCCGGGGAATATTCATGGTTGGAGATTCTGGCTTACGCAGGTGAGATAATGACAGCTATTGACACCACTGCCATTAAATCACCCTTTAAGCTATCCATCCGAACTTGACAGTTGGCGAAGTCATCCGATCCCCGTCGCGTTTAGCCCGACTTTGCGCCGCATTTTATATGTTCATACATCAAATTGCTCATGATGATGGGGTAGAGCTACGGTGAGCATATTCTCAGAGCAGGATGATTAATTCAAGTTGTTAAACAATTGCATGTAAATAATTAGGAAACTTCTGTCCAGGTGCCTGCATCCAAAGACGATGACGATGGCACCCACTGTGGAACAGCGGCTGAAGTATAAGAACATGCTCTTAGTTCAAGGCAAGCGTCGACTGCTGTGTACCAATCAACAGGCTGAGCTAATTGACAAATATTACGTATGTCAACCATTGCGAAGTCTGCTCGTAATCTTTTACTGACTCAAAATGCAGGAGACATTGCAGAAGCTCAGGTCCCAAGAGCAATGTTGGCCTCGAGAGACTGCAAAGTTGTACGACTGCTTTGAGCCCAACCTGATTCGGGCAGTGCTCACACGAGAGACGTGCAATCTCGGAGCATTGATCTTTGGCCAGTCAGAGTGGAAGCAGCTGGGTGGCCGAACTCAAAAAGAGGTGGACCCACTGACGCAAATGTACCGTCGGCATGGTATGTTTTCTTCTGGCCACTACATTCCAGTGTTTGCTCACATTGGTGACTTTGCAGCCCCTTTATCCCTAGCCAGACGGACGTTCCTACCCCAAGGCTACTACGAGTCTCTCTTTGTGGAGCCTCGTCCTCGACGCTTCCAACCAGTTTTTGTGTATCGCTATACCGACAGAAATGTATGGACATTCTACCGCTTTTTCCCGACGAACTCTGTGGCTCGCTCTGGAAAACCAAGGTTTGTCGTCACTATATAGCCGCAAAGGACCTGGTTCTCATGTGCCATGTAGGTTTTCGGGAGACTACACAGAGTACACTGGTGATGAGATGCGCAACTTACTCTTTGAAACTATCGTCCGACGAGATAATACCAATGTTGCGCTTGGTCCACTTGAGTACTGCGGAAATGCTGTGGTTGTCCGGCTTGGTGGTCAATCTCGCCATAAACGGTTCGTCCTTGCTTTTCTGGTTCGAGATACCCGAGATGACTGTTCTATTATTCAGTATTGCACCTAACCGAGTCGATGCCACCCTACCCCCCGCAGTCCGTGTCCGATTGTTATTGAAGCAGATCCGCAAGGAGAACTGCGGAAGAAGAGCAAGCTTACCGACACCACAAGCACTCTATGGAGAACCCGAAAATTAGCAATGCCTGCAAAAACCCGGGCAGCCTTTGACAAGAAGGTCAAGCACTCTCTGGCATGGGTGACCGGGGCCACGACTACAACCACTGGATCTTCATCCAAACGGGCATCTCCAGAGAAGGAAACTGGTCCTCGGCCGGCTAAAAAGCGTCGTATAAGTGCTGATAAAGCGCTTGTTCTGGCTCGAAGGATCACCGAGTACTAGTGCGTTCGTCGTAGCGTCGTAGCAGATGTACTCGATGAATCCATACCTGCGTATTGTTTTGACTCTGTATTCATTGTTAGGAAATACATCAGTCATTGGACAGTCTAACATTCGTGTGCACTTCATTATTATGTATTGTGAGAGCACCGTACTTAATGTCTCAGAGCTTACACTGCCGGGCGAAAGCTGTGAACGTAACCGTAACATAGACTTTTACATTCCGGACCGGCAACTCTCAACCCTGAGACATCCACTTGGACACCCTGTCCAGCTTACTACCGTGCACACTCTCTAACGAATTGGGGCCGGATACTGTCATCTTGTATCTTGCTATATCGCTTTTAACTCACCCAGGTTGCGGAAACTGACGCGGTACATTGGAAGGTGGGCGAGCTGCATGCATAGTCGGAGAGGAAGGATGTGGAGCTTGACCAGGCATTGCAAGACCGAGACAAGCAACGAATGTCCCGGAGGCTACTCTCGAAGCCACACAGAAAGAGCTGCAGCAGGTTAAGACGAGAACAGCCATCTTGGTGCGTAGCACATAACATTCCTGCCCCTGCCACTAACTACAAGCCTACAGCCACCACGAACAAGGAACTGCGGCAGCAGACTACAACACTTCTACAAAGGTGCTCAGCCTGCACCAGTGCGTCGAAGATGTCGAGCGCCATACACGACTTCTTCGATCGTGAGAGTCAGCTGAAGGAGGAGCAACAGCTCATGCCAGCGTCCGAGTACTCTTGACGCCGCTTTGCATCCGACTGGGTCAATACTGTCCTCAGGCTCCAGTTCCCGCTTTCAGATTCACGGTTGCAGGCTGTTGTGCGGCACAGACAATCGTGAGGCCATCAATGCGACTTACATTCTCATCGCTACAGTGTAAACAATCATCCGGCTTGTCCGTCTTCACCTAGCGTTTCGCTGCTGTGATCATGGGGATGCGTGATCCCACGACTACCGCTCTTATCTTCGCATTGGACGAGACGGATGGTAAGCTGCAAGACAACATTCAATGCTTGTGACCAACATCCCGCGGCTGCCCCTGAACTGCGACACACGGCGTCCAGAGCGAGGAGGAGGAAATCCAGACTCTACCTACCAACCTTCGGCAGGCGCGCCAGGAGCACCAGACCTTGGTGTCGCAGCTCCGCGAAGCGCGCTCGTCGGAGACATCGACGAAGTTCGAAGTCGACTCGCAGCAGCTGACGCTCGCGAGGGAGGAGCTCGAGTGCATGTCCAATGAGCTGAGCGCCAAGACGAAGGAGTTCACGCGCTACCGGCGGGCGAAGAACGCGGAGCTCGTGCAGCTGCAGGCCGGGCACGACGCGCTCACCCAGACACACGCGTCGACGGAGAGCATGCTCAAGGCGCTGCAGTCCGCGCACGACGCGCAGACGCACCAGTTGACGCAGGTGCAGACGTGCATACAGGAGCTGACGGGCGCGCTCGCGGAGCAGGATGCGAACTACGCGACCGACGCGGGTTCGCTGAAGAGTCTGGCGAAGATACTGGAGGAGCGGGAGCAGCAGTCCAAGGTGGTGGTCACGAATATCAAGCGTGACTGGGCGGAGGTGGGCGAGAAGACGGTGCAGCGGGTGAACTACCTCAAGGAGATCATCGACAAAGAACAAGAGCGTGCCGAGGCGGCGGAGAAGCGGGTGGAGGAGTTGGAGGAGGCTGTCCAGAGGGTATCTCGCGGTGAGCTGCGCATCCCGAGCATCAGTGCTCCAGGCACGTCCCAAACGCCCGGTATGCTTAGCACCCGCGCTCGCGTCGGGATATCAAATATTGTTTTCCAGGGGAGCTTGGGATTGAGTCCCACTATCTCAATAGCTGGACGGATACAGTGGTAAGATGTTTACCGAGGTATATTCGGACTACGTCCAGCCGCAGGAGCATTATGCGCAGAAAGGCTGGACAACATGGTAAGGAGAGCGGTGTCTGTGATCGAGGAGAGAGTGCGTGCTTTTACTCTGTGACTTCGTTATGCCGCTCATATCTTTGCAGGTCCCGGTCCTCAATCAGCAGCGGGAGGAGTACGAACGGCTTCGACTCGAAGCCGTTGAACTCGCTAGCCAGCACGCTGAGACTATCGCGGAACGCGACGCTGAGGCCGCTCAGAGCGAAGACTCGGGCCAGGAAAGTCGTTCAGGAGAATGACCTTATAGAGAGCCGACTTGGGAACCCGAATGGCAAGTTCAGCCTCTGCTGCATTCAGATATCTCAATGTGTGAGCCTTGAGATTGACAGGTGTTTGCAAGGTGCGATCCCAAAACTAAGCGTATGCACACTAAGATCAGGGTACTCATGGATAACGGGTGGTTACTTAAGTGCTAGCGAGTACATATATATGTAGTGTGTTTGAGTTACTTACACTGCATTGTCTCTCAGGGTAGCTTAGTGTACGGAATATGACTTGTGACTAGATGTACTACTTAACGAGCTTGTACACATCTGAGAGCTCTTGTTCACATCATGCTTTTCTTAGCGTCTCTGGAGGAAATCGAAAGTCTGGATCTTTCGGATTCTGTCGGTCTTTGCCTAATCTTAGCGTGCTTTCCACGTGCTTAGCTCTTCACTAAGACGGAAAAAGTAATCATCACGGTGATAAGCCTCAGGATCGTCTGACCCCCGAAAATGCGGACTCAGCACATCGTACAAGCCCTCCGGAGCTTATTCGACACAGCGCTCGCACGCCTCTAGGCTTCTATGGGCTCTAAAAGACTTTTTCTATTTAGCTCCGGACTTCCTAACATCCTCGAGGCGTACACGGACCCATTCCGCGATTTATCTCTGTGCACCGAAGCTCCGGAGTGACTTAACCAATGCGACTTCTAGCTGCATTAGCTCCGGGACCCGCGGACACTTCTATCGAGGGGCATCTTCCTCATGCCCACCCTCCAGCACTCACTCCCCCTCATTTCCGTCAAGATACCGAAGGTGCGGACGCATACGAGTCACCATAAGGTCAGCATCAGTCAGCAAACGGCCGGAGGTAATTAACACGTGACCGGCGTGTCGCACGGAGTGATGGGACCGCTTGGGTCAGGTGGCGGAGCGTCGAGGCGACCTATAGGGGCTGGAAAGAGCAAGTGGGAGCGCAAGAGAGTCGTATGGTGTATGGTATAGCGGAGGAAAGTGCTGAGCAATCCTGTGGGTAGCGGCGTTTATTTGTTATTTATCTCCGAACGGTCGCAAAGCCATTCCTGTAGTATAAATTGTACAAAGTAGCATACAGAAAAAAAAGTTTCGACTTCACCATCTCAGAGAATTAGCGTTACGATCTCAGCGACCTGAGAAGTTCGAAAGCGTCGAACTTAGCGAATTATAACCGATCTTAGCTTTGCCAATAGGCCTGACTCGTCGAGTGAATTAGCTCCGCCATCGATTCAATTAGCTCCGGTGCGTCTCACATAGCGAAATAAAAATTAAACAAGTCCCTTTAGC